TGTATATAATTTTTTATTTCAATCAGTGTATGCTTAATTTCTAGTTGGTCCTTTTTCATATCCTTGAGGTCTCACTAAATTTATTGGCCTTTTCTAGAAAATTCTTGAAAAACCTTATAACCGTGGTTTTGAACTCTATATCCAGTTTTTGCTTTCCTCCATTTCTTTCATTTGTGACCTGTTTCTTTCTCTTCACATTTTGGCTGCTTCCCTGAGTTTATAGAGTGGCTTTGTGTCCTAGGTGTACTAAAGGGCCCATTGGCTAAACCTCTCCAGTTACCTGAGGTGGACACTCTTGGTGAACCCCTTTGTGGGTTGTGTGCATAGTCTTGTTATAGTTAATCCTTGATTGTTGTTGGTATCACTCAGTGAGGATCAGCTGTGTCTATAATGGGAGACCTTTTGTGCTAGAGACACACTTATGAGGCAAGACTTGCTTCAGTGGGGCTTTGGTGCTCACTGAGTCTTCTCACTGAGTGTGTCTCATGGATCTGAGGAGCTGTAATCTGGATGGTCCTACTCTGACTCCAGGGTACACTGGCTCTTAGATCTCCAAGGAGGTGCTAATTTAGTCTCTGCCTGAGGCCACCCAGCAGGAGCTACAGAGAGGTCTGCAGATTCCTCTTCTTTGTTTGGGTTTTGGAGGTGCCCAGATGAGGCCCAGCTGTGAAGCAGTGCAAGCTGCTATGGGGCCTTGGGCCTTCTTTTGGATCTTCTGGGTCTCTCTGACTCAGCTGCAATTTGATAGGTAAGTTTAGATTTCAAAGGGTCAGGCCAATCATATGTAAAAGTTTCTGTGCACAGCATGGATGGGGCGGATTCTCAGGGCGGAGCAAACAGCAATGATTTTTTATCAGCCTTGCCCTAAAGGGCCCTTGGGTCTCAGTGTCCCGTGGTAATCACTGCAAGCTCCTCTGAGAGAAAGCTGCCCTCGAGTTCCACCCACTGCCAGACAGTCCAGTTTCTCCCTGTATGAGTCTGAGTCCCCAGAGTCTTGCCCAGAACTGGAGTTCAGAGCAGTTGGGAGCTTGTGTTTCCCTTTGGCTTGAAAAAGCCAGCTGTGTACTCAGTTGCCAGCCCTCTTCATGTGAGCACCTCTGTACCTCTGTCTTTTACACCTCCTCTGAGTCTCAGTGTGCTTTTCTCTTTCCTTCTACTTGTAGAATTTCCACTCAGCCAGTCTTCCTGTGCTTCTGCGTGATGTCCGTTTTGTCTTTTAGTTGTAGTTTTTTTGTTTTTTTTTTTTTTAAATATATATATATATTTTATTGATTTTTTACAGAAAGGAAGAGAGAGGGATAGTTAGAAACATCGATGAGAGAGAGAATCATCGATTAGCTGCCTCTTGCACACCCCCCGCTGAGGATGTGCCCACAACCAAGGTACATGCCCTTGACCGGAATCGAACCTGGGACCTTTCAGTCCATAAGCCGACACTCCATCCATTAAGCCAAACCTGTTTTGGCTGTAGTTTTGAAGTTGTTGTGTGAGGCAGCAAGTTCAGGTGTTTACCTATGCTGCCATCTTGGTTTCTCTCAAAAATATATTTCTTCATTGCTTTCAGAGAGGAAGGAAGAGGTATAAAGAGATAACAACATCAATGATGAGAATAATTGATTGGCTGCCTCCTGCCTGCCCCACACTAGGGATTGAGCCTGTAACTTGGGCTTGTGACCTGACCAGGAATCAAAACATGACCTCCTGGTTCATAAGGCAAAACTGAACAACTGAGCCTTGTTGGCCAGGCAAAATTTTTAAATTATACTTTTTAATATCCCACGTGTCAAAGATGAAACATAATGAAAATTATAAAATGTCCTAAATTACAAAAATACTTCATATTAAAACATATGCTCTTTACTATATTAAAACATATATTATGGGAAAATTATAGCTATTAATGCATAAATTAAAAAAACAAATGCTGAAAATTAATATCAGGCAAAATAAACCAAAGACTGTAGAAAGAGGGAAAATAAAATTTTACAACCATGAGAATAACTAATTACTTACAATAATATGAATAACAATTTAGTAATGTTAGTAAAAAAGAATACATTTAGCATTTGTATTTAGTAATGGTTTACATGATAAATAATAACAAAATTTACCATCTTAACCATTTTTAAGTGTATAGTTCAATACATTTTTAAGTGTATTGTGAAACAAAAAACTTTTTCATCTTGTAAATCTTAACATTTATACTCATTAAATCTATACCCCTGTCTCCTTCTCTCCAGTCCTTGGTAATCACCCTTACACTTTGTATTTTTATGAATTTGTGTACTTTAGACACCTCATATACGTGGAGACATTATACAGTATTTGTATTTTTTGTGATTGGTTTATTTCACTTAACAATATCCTCAGGGTTCGTGGCATGTATCCGAATTCCCTCCTCCTCTTCCTCCCCCTCCTCTTCCTCCTCCTCCTCCTTCTTCTTCTTCTGAAAATCCTCACCCAAGGATTTTTTTTTTCCATTGAGTTTTAGAGATAGTGGAAGGGAGGAGAAGAGGAGGAGTAGGAGGAGGAGAGAGAGAGAGAGAGAGAGAGAGAGAGAGAGAGAGAGAGAGAGAAGAGAAACATTGATATGAGAGAGACACATTGATTGGTTACCTACCCCAACCACCTTTCTCTCTGAGATTCATCAGTCTGTTCCATGCTTCTATGTTACTGGATCTATTTTATTCGCCAGTTTATTTTGTTCATTTGTTTCCACATATAAGTGAGATCATGTGAAACTTGTCTTTTTCTTACTAAACAACTTTTTAAAGTCATGTCAGATAAAATATTCTAAGATATCAAGAGAATGATAAATAGAAATTCAAAGTAGTTGGTAATTTTAGGCAGGTTTTTTTGAAGGCCAGGGAATGAAATGGGTAGAAGTGATGATCAGAGTTATTTGTTTGGCTAGGTACTCATGAATCTTCCTCATATTATGGCAAATACAGAAACAAATAAAAAAAGATTATAAATGAACCAATGATGATAGTGTATCATATACCAAATATTTTTATTTTTTCAATTTATTTGTATACCTGAGACTCATTAGAAAAATAATTGTGGGTAACTCTATACTTTATTATGTTTCTATTTGTGTGTACTCAAGCAGCTGGCAAATAATTTGTCCAGCTTATTTTTTAATATATAAAATTCAGAGTAAATTGCTTTCTACTGTCTTTTAAATAACTTTATTTGGTGTAATTGTTATACAATAAGTTGCACATATATAAAGTAAACAATTTGATCAGATTTGACATATTTATAAATCTTGAAACCAACACACAATCAAGATAACAAACATATCCCAGCTGGTGTGGCTCAGTGGTTCAATGTCAATCTATGAACCAGGAGGTTATGGTTCAATTCCCAGTTGGGGCACATGTCTAGGTTGAGGGCTCAATCCCCAATAGGGGGTGTGCAGGAGGCAGCCAATCAATGATTCTCTCTCATAGTTAATGTTTCTATCTCTCTCTCCTTTCCTCTCTGAAATCAATTAAAAAATATTTTTAAAAAGAGTAGTGGTATCTTACCTTAATTTGGTTTGACTCAGTAAGTAGAGTGTCGGACTGCAGACCAAAGGGCCCCTGGTTCCATTCCGGTCAAGGGAACACACTTGGGTTGCACACAAGAGCCACAGTAGGGGGTGTCTAGAAGGTAGCCAATCAACGATTCTCTCTCATCATTGATGTTTCTAACTCTCTCTTCCTCTCCTTTTCCCAAAATATATTTTTTAAAAAGGTATTTTGTATTTTTAAGTAACAAATGAGGATGAATATATTTTTATCTGTTTATTTGCCATCTGTGTCTTCTTTGGTGAAGTATCTGTTGGGATCTTTTTAGTTTTTTTTAATTTTATTTTTAGGTTTTAAAAAATTATTATTGAATTTTGATAGTTTTTTTTTTTATATATTCTAGGTACAAGTTCTTTATCAGAGATATAATTTGCAAATATTTTCTCCTACTCTATACCATGTCTTTTTATGCTCTTAGTTGATTTTAAAAAGCAGAAGTTTTTTATTTTGATAAAGCCCCATTTATCAACTTTTACTTGTGTGGATTATACTTTTGGTAACATGGTTAAGAAATCTTTGCCTAACCTAAGGCCACATATATTTTCTCTTATGCTTCTTTCCTAAAAGACTTGTAACTTTAAGTTTTACATTTATATCTCTGATCCATTTTGAATTAATTTACGTATACTGTGTGAGGTATGGGACAAAGTTGTTGTTTTTGTTTGTTTTTGCTTGTGGATATCCAGTAATTCTAGCACTATTGTTGAAAAGACCATCCTTTACTACCAAGGTTATTTTCATATTATTTCATCTAGACTTAGTTTGAAATGACATATTCTGGAATGATCAATTGCTTAGTGTTACATGCACATGTTCTAAATCTAAAGGGTAAAGAAAAGTAAGTAAGGGAAGGCCAGAACCCAGAATTTAGCATATTAGGAAGTGGTAAGACCAGGGAGGTACCTGAAGAGGATCGGTAATATTTCCATCTTGTTCGATGGATGCTGGATGCAATATGTGGTCAGAAGAATTCTAAGAAGACCCTAATGACCTCTGTGCCTTTGTGTTACATTTGTGATTATATCACATAATGTCTCTCAGTTGATTTCTGAGTTCATCAAAGGGAAACTTTGTCTGGGTGGGCCTAATCTGATCACATGAACTTTCTAAAAGCAAAGAGTTTTTTCCAGGGTTGCAAATTAGAGAGTTAGAGATAGATTCAAAGCATTAGAAGAATTTGATTGACACATCGTTGTTGGCTTGAAGATAGAGGGGTACACATGTCAAGGCAAGGAGGACTTTAATCCTCCTCCACTCCAAGGAACTAAATTCTGCCAACAAAAATGAGCCTCCAATGAAAATTCAGCCTGGCCAATACCATGATTAGAACTATGAGCCTATACATGGTTGTTTTAAGTGGCTAGTTATGTAGTAATGTGTCTACAAAGCAATAGGAAACTAATGTATACAGGCATTCATTTATTTATTTATGTTTAACACTTCACAGATTTGCATGTTATTCTCGCAGAAGGGCTATATACTCATCTTTTCTGTATTGTTCCAATTTGAATACATGTGCTGTGAAGCGAGCACCAAGGGTTTAAATTATTGTAGTTGCGCTTTTTACATATGTTATAAATATTCTTTAATGTTTAATAAACATTTTTTGCTTTGTAGAATATTTTAAAATTTTTATTTTATTGAGATATAATTCATATATAACATTGTGTAAGTTTAAGGTGTACAATATGTTGATTTGATACATTTATTTATTAAAGAGAAAGCCAGCAATTTTCTTGACTTCAATGGGTCTTCTGAACAATGCAGATATAAAGAGTGATGTTGCTGGTAGTGGTAGTGATGTGTGAAAAGAATGTAAATATTTGACTTACACAATAATGATAATATTTCTTCAATATAAATCATTGATTATGGGCCATGCCCAAGACCTTTTTTATAATAAGTCTTTTATTAGACTGCATAAAGTTACCAAGCAAAGATTACATCATTGGGCCAAGAATGCAGACTACTATTTATGGAAGTCTGGATTGAGAAAATAGTTCAGTCCTGTTTATACTGCGTAATGATGTTATTGTTACACTAAACATAGGGATTGTAAAGTGATTGTGTATATTAGTTTAAATGTGTAAATATTTCTGTTATGGCATCCTTATGTACACTGACCATGAATAATTTATTTTATGATGTGCTTGAAATAAATCCATTATAGGTAAAGAAGGCATTTGAACATAATGTGAAACTGGTATGGCTGCTAGTATCCTGAATAATTCAAATATGGAATTGCTACTAATAATACAAGTGAAACAGGAACACAAACCCTGGAGCATTCTGAAGGCAATTCCATTGATTCCAAATAAACATTTTAACATATTTTAACAGATGTGAGATGAATGGCACCAAATAAATGACACTTAATGTGAATAGCCAGCCACAACATGGCATTTGGATACTGATGTTTTTCAAGTTTGAGATGGTACTGTAACTTAAATACCTGCCTATATTAACCTCTTCCCTTCCCTGGTCACTTTCTCATTTCACCCTATGATGAGATTACCAGGCTCATTTTTTTTCTGTAGCTAACAATCATAAACATATTATTTGTTTTTTATTTCTTGTGGTATTTAATTTTATATGTCAACTTGACTGGACCATAAGGTGCTTATATATTTGATCAAACATTATTATGATGTTTTTGTTAAAGTGTTTTTTGGATGAGATTAACATTTAAATTGGTACAATAGATTGAGTAAAGAAGATTGCTTTCCATAATGTGGTGGGCCTCACCCAATCAGTTGTAGGCCTGAGTAGAACAAAAGGCAGACTGTTTCCCGAGTGAGAGAAAAATCCCCCTGTGGCCTTCAATGTGGGACATTGGTTCTTCCTACTTCTATAGCAGCCTGTTGTCTTTTCACTGAAACAGGCGCATTGGCTCAACAGATTTTAGATTTGCCAGCCTCCAAAATTGTTTGAGCCAATTCCTTATCTACCTACCCATTCTATGGATTCTGGTTCTCTGGAGAATTCCAATTCGATATCTCTCAAGTAGTTGACTAATTCCCCAACAGAATGAAAGTCCCATGAAGTCAAGGACTTTGTCTTGCTTGTTGTTATATTTCCAATGTCCAGATTGGCCCTTAATAATTGTGCAAACAATTGTTTGCTGAATGAACTTATCTTGCTGGGAGAAGCAGTGATGCATTTAGATTTTTGGGGGTGCCACTGAAAGGAACAAATATGTCAGCTTAAGAAAACAACATCAACTTGGATCACTATTCATGAGTTTTAAATATTGTTTATAGATATTTTGAAATTATATGTGTTAAGAGAAAAATTTGAGGCTCTTATACAGAAGTTTTGAAATCTTCAACTTTATGTTTGTTGCCCTAGAAATTCTCAGACTTACCCATGTCATTCAGCTGAAAGCAAACCATAAAGAAATCAGTGTTAATTATTATTTACATTTTAGTTGCCTCTAGTAGGAAGAAATGGAAGGGATGGAAATCAAAGTGTAAAATGAATGAGAACTTTTAAAATCTTTTGTAGATAATTGTTGAGATATTAATGTGAGTCAAGGAGATCGTATATCATGATTGTGATTGATACTTCTATGACAAATCACCATGTTTTAGTGCACAGTGTTACAATGATGAAGTAGCTAGGTCTTCCATCGTAAGCTATGTTCTTATTTATGCTCCACCATGCTTTTAATCTCTCACTCACAAATGTTTTCCTAAGTGGAAGTGAGACAAGGAATGAGAAATTTAACTTTTATTTCCCCTGTAGTGAGTTGATACTTTTTCTTCTCCTACCTTTCAGTTCTGACTCTGCAAATCTCATTAGGTCAATGTTACTACAGACTAAGTGGAGTATTTAAAGCTCAAGTTTTTCAAGAGCCTGTCTTGTGGCATTACCCAGTTGCAGGTTACTGCACTTAGAATGGTTTTATCCACAGACATGGAACACTTTTTATACAGATGGGCAATACAAAGTCTGTCTGGCTGATGTTACCTAGTATGATTTGTGTTGTGCCAGTGGACTTGAGCCAGACAGCAGGTGTGCAGGTTGCTGTGAAAGGAGGGTTTACCACTAAGTCTGTTGGGGCATGACCTTGATTCTCACTGGGCCAAAAGCCTTCAAGAAAGACTGAGGTGGGATTAGACCTCCTCAAACATCGGTGGTTAGAACAATATTTATTCCTCTTAAACTGCAAGGGAACCAAGCCCAGCCTTTGTAGAATAGGTTCTAGGTTAATGTGGCTCCAAGCATACATAAGCAGCACTACATCAGTTAGCTCCAAATGTCATTTTTCATTGAGAGCCAAGGAGGGAAATGCGGAGAGGCCTATTTTGAATTTAAGTGGCAGTCCTCAAGTTGGAGTCACCCTTACTATGTGGTTTCTATTTAGTTTGAAATTAGGGTTGTCAGATTGAGCCAATAATATAGGGTGATTAAGATCAGGGACAAGATAGAGTTGTCCACTTTTACCACTTTTACTCAACATAGTACTGGAAGTTCTTCCCTTAGAAGTCAAACAAGAAGAAGATATAAAAGGTATCCAAATGGGAAAGAAAGAAGTAAAACTGTCATTTGCAGCTGTCATGATACTGTTTATAGAGATACTCTATATTCCACACAAAAAACTACTAGAACTAATAAATAAATTTGGTAAACTAGCAGGATACAAAATGAACATTCAGAAATTGTTTGCATTTTTATAAACATAATGAATTGTCAGAAAGAGAAACTAAAAAGATAATCCTATTTACAAATAAATAAATAAATAAATAAACTAGAAATAAATTTAATCAGAAAGATAAAAGACATTGAAGAAAGAAATTGAAGAAGATGCGTATACATAGAAGCATATACCATGCTCATGGATAGGAAGAATTAACATCATTAAAGAGTTCATATTACCCAATGAAAATTTATAGATTCAACACAATATCTATCAAATACCAATAACATTTTTCACAGAACTAGAACAGATAATCCAGAAATTTATGGGAACCACAAAGGATGCCAAATAGCCACATCAATCTTGAGAAAGAAGAACAAAGTTGAAGGTATTAAGCTACTTTTTATAAAAATATTTTAGAAGGCTGTAGTAATCAAAACAATGTGGTACTGGCCTAAAAACAAATACATAGATCAATGAAATCAATTAAGAGTCCAGAAATAAACTCACAACTATATAGTCAATTATTACATGACAAAGGAGGCAAGAATATACAATATGGTAAAGACAGTCTATTCAATAAATGGTGTTGGGAAAATCGGACAGATACATGCAAGAAATGAAACTATACCACCTTCTTACATCATACACAAGAATAAACCCAAAATGAATTAAAAATTTAAATAAGATCTGAAACAAAAAAAATTCTTAGAAGAAAACATAGGCAGTAAACTCTCTGACATTTCTACTTGATCTCAGCCAACAGGCTGAAGAGTGATCTTTGACATTTCTCTTAGCAATCATTTTTCTTATGTATCTCCTTAGGCAAGGGGAATAAAATAAAAATAAACAAGGGGGACTACATCAAACTGAAAAGTTTTTGTACAGTAAAGGAACCTATCAACAAAATGGAAAGATAACTTAATGAAGGGGAGAAGATATTCCCCAACGATGCATCACATTAGAGCTTAATATCTAAAATTTATGAAGAATTCATATAACTCAACAAATTTTGTGCACCAGGTCTCATCTTTAGTCTATAATGAAAGCATAATATGCCAATTAGACTGGACAGCTGAACGACGTTATGGATGAAGCCGGGTCTGGGAGGGCCGAGGCAAGCTGCCATGGCTGTGAGGGCCGAGCCCCTTGCACAAATTTTGTGCATCGGGCCTCTAGTGTAAAATAATACTGAATGTCAATTGTAATTAAAAAATAAAAATTTTAAAAAATAGGATGCTTGTTAAATTTGAATTTCAGCTAAACAAATTATTTTCATATTTAGGTTATATCTCATGTGATATTTGGAATATACTGAAAAGTTGTTGATTGAAAATTCTTATTTAACTGAACATGCTGCATTTTATATACTACCCGATACTAGAGAGTTTAAGTAAGCATACAGTGCATTATATAGAGTAACAGCCCATGATAATATTCACTAAGGTTCTAGGACACCAAACACAATTATCAAGAGCAGCTTTCATCTTCCATTTGAAATGGATTTGGGGAGTGAAAGAGAAAACATCCCTTGCAGGTAGGTTTCACAGGCTTCAGTAGAAGAGCCACTATAACACAGCATTGAAAATACCTGTTTATATGACAATTTGAAGTATGTCCTGGACAGAGCCATGCTCAGTTCATCGTACCATTGAGTTATCCAACAGGAAAATGAGAAATTATGATGACTGAATAAGCTGGATGGAAAATGAAGACTCCTAAAATAAGACTTAATGCCTAGAAGTGCATTATTGCAGATATATTAGTAAGAATATAGCATTTTCAAAAATGCCACTTCCTGAAAGGGGACACAGTACATATAGGTAGATTTCTCAAATGCAGGGTGCCAAATCTAACTTCTTGATGAAGATTTCTCCAGATAGAGTTCAAATTC